TTCTTCTTTTTTTCAAAAAAACAACAATGGAAAATGTCTAAGTTGCTCTCTTGAAGTTTCATGTCATACCATGAGTTTTAAACCTTCTACAATGATAAAGAGATCTTCATTATTATTTGGTATTATTCGGTTTTCACACTGTCCTCATGACAGTAAGAGGTTCAGAAAGTTGCTAGCATTGCTTTGTTCTAGTAACTTCATTCTCTTTAGTAGGTGATGTATCCTCTGCCCTCAAGGATATTTTAGCATTGGATAAAGCATCCTGTTTTAATGCGTTAGAACAAGAATATCCTTTGGTGGTTCATTATACCATTGCCAGAAAGTGACAGCTGACTAATGCTGTCATGGAACAGAGGTCATAAAGTGACACAATCCACTAGAAAATGAGTTAAGATTCTAAAGTCATATGTACTTTCTTAGTTCAGTTCTCCATTAATGAACCTATAGGAAGGACTTGTCATATGTACTTTCTTAATTCAGTTCTCCATTAATGAACCTATAGGAAGGACTTGTCATATGTACTTTCTTAGTTCAGTTCTCCATTAACGAACCTACAGGAAGGACCTGTCATATGTACTTTCTTAGTTCAGTTCTCCATAACGAACCTACAGGAAGGACCTGTCATATGTACTTTCTTAGTTCAGTTCTCCATTAACAAACCTACAGGAAGGACCTGTCATATGTACTTACTTAGTTCAGTTCTCCGTTAACGAACCTACAGGAAGGACCTGTCATATGTACTTTCTTAGTTCAGTTCTCCGTTAACGAACCTACAGGAAGGACCTGTCATATGTACTTTCTTAGTTCAGTTCTCCAATAACGAACCAACAGGAAGAACCAGCTTTTCTTTTGTAGCATCATTGTGTTTAGTTTTAGATTCTGAAGGAAGAGGTGGCAAAACTAAGCACAAACTAAGAAAGAAAATACTGTCTTCTCATTCACAACAGGCACATACACTGCTCTACTGTCTGAATAAAGATTCAAATGCTGGAGAAAGAGGGGCATTGACAAAGTTCTCAAATAGTTCAAACACTTGCGTCTATGGTTTTTAAAACAAATTGACAAAAACATTTTTATTTATTTGCATTTATTCAAAAACATATAGGTTACCGTGTCATCAAGACATGCACACATATGTGGTTGTGGTAGTTTGGAACCCAGCAGATGATTCTAAAAATTATACGCTTTTTTAAGACTTTACATACACCTAGTTAGAATGATGTATTAATAATTACTCTGGGCTAATTTTTAGTTCTCGTTGATGTAGATATCTTGCTTTGATTAGAAGTTAATAATAACAAAGTTGTAAATTTTGTTCTTTATGCTTGTAATTGAGTGTTACATAAAGCTTATCAGTAAACCAACAAGTTTCTGAACAACAAGCTATGAATGAAGTTACTATACAGGGATTATATATCTATATAATGCCAGCCACGTAAAACTAAACAAATAAAAAGAACCTTAATATCCATCACAGATTACAAAACATTCAGTACCACTATATTTGAATTTGATTACGTTTTTTACAAATGGCTAAATTATTCGCCAAGATTAATTTACTCTGCAAAATAGATCTGGATTATACTTTATTACACAAGTCTAGTAAAAGATTACATCAGAAACTGAAATGTGGTGCTATTTCAGTACTTTTTGGTAACGTTAAATTCAATATTAATGTTGAATACTGTGATTGTTTCATAGCTTTAATTTGATAAATATAGTATCATATGGTTAGAGTACATGGTATTAGGTAGTTACGAGTTATTCCAGTGATCTGGTGGCTAAACTTTGGTCAAATTAGAATAACAAGTTATGGACACTGGACAGCATTACAAAAAAACACTCTTATCCTCTGCTAGCTGATAATATATTTTGTCCAAAAAAACCAACAAACAATAAAAAAATAAAAAATAAGTCAATTAATTCTAATAGTTTGACTTAAACATTAGTTGTGATGTTTAAACAAAATACAAACTTATAAAGTTTCAAAAAAAACATTTCATTTACACATGCTTACTTCTCACAAAGAGATTAAATAAATCCTAAGTTCAACAAAGTGATCTTGACTTACAAATTCTAAATAGAAGAAAACAATTGGATATTTGTAACAAAATTTATTCCAATCATGGAATATGCTTTTCAAATATTTAAAAATTAACCAGAAGAAAAAAATATCAATGAGTCATTAATTTTTCTCCCCAGAATGACAAATCCTTAATATTTAGATTTGAGATTGCTGAAAGAATTGCAAGTGCTTGTGGAACATTTTTTGCTAACACCAAAATAAAGTTAAGAATTATTAAAGAAAAAACTGGTATGATCTAAGTTGAACAATACGACTTTTATTCTTCTTCTGTTTCATAATACAAGTTAAAACTTTTATTGATTACCATCTAAATCATATTGCATAATATTAATCTTGGAACATATTTTAAGCAAATCACAAATACATCAGACTAATCTAAGCAACAAAAATAATAAACAAATATCTAAAATTAATTTGTAAAAGTACAGCTACATCTACTGAAAGTTATATAAAAATTATTAAAACTCTAGTTTATCAGTTTTTATAAGTTCACAATGAAAGATGTATTACAAATTTGTTTTTTCACACAAGCTGGAAACAGACAGAAAATAGGTCACATGGGACCCAAATCTTTAAAAAAGTTATAGGTTATAACCACAAAGGTTACAGCACACTTCTACCAATCACTGAAAACAGAACCTTATGGTTATATAATAGTAAGGCATTATCACTCAAATTGCTTATAACAAACGTTTTCCAATAAAATTGAGAACATGAGAGTGATCCCCTTGACTGAAGAAAAGAGAACTCATCAATGTAATAAATCAACAATCCCTTAGCCAAAAATTAACATTAAAATAAAGAATTTTTAACCAGTTAATTTAACACAAAAATATTGTAACAACTCCACTTTATGATCAATTTTATATAAATTATGTTCCTTCATTAATTAAGATATTACCAGTTTTTTTTATAAATGTTGTTTTTAGAAATTCCCCTCTCACAGTACATATGTGCTACATTTGTCTCAGTGGATGAACCATTTTTAGTCTCAGAAAATCAGTACACAAAGAAAAACCTGTAGCATCCAAAATTATGACAGAATTACATTTAAGGTCAGTGATAAAAACCTAACTTCTAAACATCCAATCTTTTTATATCTTTAAAAAGAAAAACCATGGTGTGAAAACTTTCTAGCTTGTAAATCTATAAAATGTTTACATTTCCAGCACATTACATGGGTTTCTACAGTATCAGGTTACATAATAAGAAACGTAAAAAAAAAACTGAAATTTGGTATAAGACTTTTATCTTGGTTTATGATTTGCATCTATTAATTGTGCAAACACTGCCAACCCAATTAACCTTTTTCACCATATATAGTGAATTCAACTGGGTAGTGAGCCAGTTTAAAGTTTTAGTATAAACTTCAGTGCCTCTTTCCCTACCATGGATTCCACCACCACCCCTCCTTGGGTAAATATAATCATACAAACCATTCAAAATAAACTACAGTCTAAACTGGTCATGATAACCAAGAGAATACTATAATAATTCCTACCATCCTCCTATTATTGTTATATTTTATAGCTAATTTTGCTAAAGTTAAAAATCACTGATCTGTTGAAGGATTTTTATTTGTAAAAGCACCTGCACCTGATTTAACTAATGATTCTCAGAGCCTCCATCTTTTTTGTATGACGCCATACTGGTTGATGTTGTTTACTTTTCAGAAAGACTTTGATAAAATACCTCACAAGAGAGTAAGTAAATTTGATGCTTATAGAGTCAATGGAAAAAAGTAATGAAGTGGGTAAAATTTAATGGTAAACAACAAAAGTAATAACCGACAACTTTTTTTAACTGGAAGAATACAAATAGAGTGCTTACTCAAGTCTTTTTTAGGACCTTTGTTATTTATTACTTATGTTAATGATTTGGATAGCTTCTTGGTACTATTTCTAAATTTGCTAATGCTATTAAAATGCCATAAAGAGCCAATTCTGTTGAGAAAGCCAAAAATACTTTGATAGCTGTAGCAGATGTGACAGAACGCGGGAGATAAGTTCAAATACTGTGACATACTAAAGTTATGCACTTGGGTTATTGAAATTTGCAAATTGAGACTTGCTTCTTGCATGAAAGATTCGTTGATTGTTAGCATAAGAGAAGAACTTTAAGGGAATTGTTGATAAAGTCCTTAATTACAGATTTATTGTTAGCTGTGGAGAAAAGAGAAAAACAAAGCGTTTTTTGGGTTCATTTAATTATGAAGGTAATATTAATAACAAAATATATTGTAGCCTAGCACAAGACTGGTGAGGTCTTAGTTGGAGCACTGTGTGTAGCTTTGATCGCCTTACTACAGGAAAGAAATAAACTTCCTTGAAGACATGTAGAGACAGGCTACCACAATAATCTGTGGCTAAAGAGTTTAAGCTTTAATGTAGAGTTTAGTGTTTTTGAAAATTGTTTTCTCTAGGGTACAGAGGAATTAGAGGCATGGATGCATTTAAAGGGCGGTTTGAGCCCTCAAGTTTGCCATAAACTTTTGGAGCATTTTAAGTAAAAATCAAAATAATACAATTAATCCATTTCACAATTCCTCTTTGTTGAGTGTAGCTTTTAATCTGATACTTGTAACCACTTCAGCAAAAATAGCATTGTTTACAAATTTGCTGATTCCATCATATAATATTATAATAGTTTACAACTCAAAATTTGTAATTAAACTTTAAAACAAAAAATGTATATATTCCTCTCTTCTGTATTCTATTTCTATCGGTATCATTGTCACTGTCAATATCAAGCACTGTTCTCATTTACTTTTTTAGTTGGTGTAACTTTCCTTATATCTACGATATTGTTAGGTAATACTAATAAGGTATTCATTAGTATTATATATTAGTATTATAATAACTACCAAGACTAAGAGTGTACGTAATACTATTATTCTTAAAATACGTAAACTTACTATTATCGAAATAGCCACTGTCCTCTATTTCTCTGAGAGACTGCTTCGTTTCTTTGAATAACTGCTTCAAATGTTTACAAATGTTATTAAACTTGCTAAACTCAGTTGCCAACTTCCTTGCCATCTTTTCGAATTCTAATCGAAGATTGTGTCTATTCGTGTTTTTCTACCAGTTTTTATCAATTTATACGTCATTTCCGTTATGTCACTTTCACCTTGCGCCTACTACTACACTGCCTCGTAGTGATAAAAGCATAAAGCAGGTTTGACTACTTTTCGTAATATCGTGATATACCAATAAAACTGATTAATTTAAAAAGTAAGGAGCACACTCAATAAACCAGAAAAATCCAAAGTTTTAAATTTTACTATAATATTGATCCTCCTTTTTTTTCTCTCCGGAAAAATAATTACAAACTATACTTTATTCAATTATTCTAATAAATATGATAGTCCAGTTTAATGTTGTTTTTCCAGCAACTGGGTAAGTTCCACAGTCACAGAAGCCAAGGCCGCGTATTTTGTTTTACCCACCATCATGCCCAAGTTGAACAAAAATTGCGGTCTGGCTGACTAATGAATGAATATTTGATGTAAAATTTTCATTAATGCTATAATTGTAGCTACCAGTTTGGCCGCCGATTTTCATTTCATTCCATTAACAAAAGGTTAAGTCGCACGCTCAATCCTTTTTTAGCCGTACCTTTTTTCCACACCTAAGGTGTTTTTGATTAGATTATTATTATATAGACCGGGCTTCGAATTTTCATCAGATAATTTAAAAGAAACTTCTAACGAAAGAACTGCGATACAAAAATTCAAGAATCGTGTTACACTAGTGTATCCTCCTAATACTAATAATATTAATCCTACAGTTTTCTGTGTACTTTATTCCGTAACTATGATAAACTGTATTCAGATAAATATTTTAGGCCTATTCTCTTCTTATATTTCTAAGACGTTTTATTAAATTAAAATTCATTATTTATAGCTTCTTTTTATTAGAGAGCGTTGAAGGTCTTTCATTCTGAACATAATGATCCTAGTGTGCGTGCTGCCAAGTTGAGCTCATTCAGTTATATGTGGCATTTCATATATCTTGAAGATCATGGCGTTTGAGGGCGGTGACTAGACTGAAGGTTCGGCGATAAGCATGCCTACCTTGACCTCGTGTCAAAAGCCCAAATTTCACTAACCCTGAATGGATATATTAAGTGAGAGTTTTTTGCGTTTAAGGCATGCGGACTTCAGGTCTGTAATAAATCTAGTTTCTCACGCAGTTATTTCATTTTTTTATATATAAGTTAAAGGAATATTGGTTTATATTTAATTTGAAAATCATTATTGGGAAACATTTTAGTAAAGTTTTTGGTATAATTCTGGGCGAACACACTAAGCTAATAAAAATTCTATAAAATTTAAATATATCAATTTTGGATGTTTTTGATCATTACAAAACACACAAAAATACCAGTGACGGGTTTTTGAAATCCACACAGCTTACCAATGCACAAACCCTGAATACATTTATGAACATTCATGTATTTGCAGTATTGTACATCTAACAACAAAAACTATTGGAAGTTCGTTTTGTTTGAAGTTAAGCAGAAAGCTACACAATGGGCTATCTGTGCTCTGCCCACTACGGGTATCTAAACCCGGTTTCTAGCGTTGTAAGTCCGCAGACATACCGCTGTGCCACTGGGGGCTAGAAGTTATAAAAAAGACAAAAAGTCATAAATAAAAACAAACTTACTTTACTACAGAGAGTATGTTATGTCCCTGATACTCTGTGTAAAGATGGTCACACTATGAGGAGTGATGAATGATAAACGATTTCTCACCCTCTAATATATAGTATCATTAATCATGCTGAAAAACACACTACCTCGTGGCAATAAGCATGTTGAAAACACATTGTCTTGCATCAGTAAGCACGTTGAAAAAACAACTACCTCGTATCAATAAGCATGTTGAAAAACATACTACCTCATATGAATAAGCATGTTCAAAACATACTATCTTCTCTCAATAAGCATATTACATAACACACTATGAGGAGTGATGAATAACAAACGATTTTTCACCCTCTAATATATAGTATCATTAATGATGTTGAAAAACACACTACCTCGTATCAATAAATATGTTTGAAAAACATACTATCTTCTATCAATAAGCATGTTGAAAAACAAATAACGTGACACTGGTAAACATGTTGAAAACAAACTATCTGGCATCAGAGAGCATGTTGAAAAACAATTAAACTACTTAATCAATGATGTCGTTTTGTTGTTCTTATTTTTTAAGTGAACGCAAATATATTTTCATTCAGAGATTTCTAAAAGCTATCTTATAAAAAATGAGTTTAAAAATCGATTTGCTAGTTGCCAGATTTTTCGTGTTTTTATGTAATTTGGGGGTCAATCTTAGCTCACATATTTCGACAAACTTTCCATAGATTATCCACTCTATATGAACGTCGCTTAATCAAACCAAATATACAGGAATCCATTGAAACTAAATTACCGGATTTGAAAGGCATGTGATTCTAGTTTTTTAGTTTTTTTTTGTTGTTGTTGTTGTTGCTCATAAACACAGCAGTTGATTTCGAGACGTGGCTGGAAATTGTGAAATTTAGTACTTTGTTTACTTGAATTTTTTTTCCAATATTTTTTACCTATATCAGAATATCCATTGCAATAGCTTTTTCGCCTAAGAGTTATTTTATAACCATAGCCATCATCTAACAGATACGGGCTTGTTTCAGTTGAGGAGTGGTTTCGAAGGTGGTGCTATCCCGAAATGCTTTGCAGAGTGAGTTTTTATGCATCCATTGACAACATCAAAAGCTCTCTTCTTCGAAATTTCGTGTTACAGTCTCGTTGTATGAATATCCCTCATTGAAAAAAAAAGACTATGAAGTTGTCCACCAGCCATTCTACGAAAATAGGTGTTAATGCTTGTTTGAAGTAAAGCACAAAGTTACACAATGGGCTATCTATGCTCTGCCCACCACGGGTATAGAAACCCGGTTTCTAGCGTTGTAAGTCCGTAGACATACGGCCGTGCTACTGGGGGGTAGGTGGCAATCCACTGGAGATCTAAGGCTATGTTGCTAAACATGTTGTCCAAAGCCCCATGGTTTGCTACCGTATTAACACGTGCAAGTTGTTCTAATAAAGTAAGTAACTTTAGAATTATCAACTGAGCCCATGTCCTATAGACGTTTTTACATACCGATTTGCTGATTAAATACTTTCTATAAACGTATGACTCATACAAATAACGTTAACGAAAATTCATCATTTTTACAAGTAAACACAGTAAATACTGCAGTGTCCTCTATGTACTTTATGTTGAAAATGATTAATTTCATCTATTTATTTGGTTAATTCCTTAAACTAAGCACTGTGACTAGCAAAACTATGAAATTACTCAAAACGATTCAATGTGTGGAGCTCCCATTATCAGGAAAACAAATCAAGGAGTTGTTTTGTAAGCGAACATTCGATGGGTGCTGACATCTAGTAACAAAATATGGTACTTTTCATTTTATACCTCAAAGTAAGCAATATACGATTTCACGTTCTTAAAGTTAATATTTTTCGTTCATGTTTCTTAACTTTTTACGGTTACTTTCAAGCATTTGTAGCTTTTAGGTTTCTAAGAATGAGATTTGATTGTTATTTACGTTAGTCACATCAACTTATTGTCAAAAATGTTTGTTTATTTAGTTTGTTGATTTTCGCGCAAAGCTTCACGAGAGCTAGTTGCTCTTGTCGTCCCCGATTTTGAAGTGATAGACTAGAGGGAAGGCAACTAGTAAACAACACCGCCCACCGCCAAATAGTGGGCAACTCTTATCGTATAGTTAGATTTGAGCATTACTCTTATGAAACAGTGGTGGTGACAGGGCGCGAACCACGAATCCTCGAATCGATAAAAATATTTATGACATACCTAACAGCAAAGGAAGTGACTCCTGTCAATCAGTTCTATCTGACTGACGTAACCTTCGCTAACTCTTTGAACAGTTATTTTGCTGGACGAATAGATGTTTGTCCACTAAGTTTTCAGTACGATGTCAGAAGAAAAAAAAAACGTTTTCATTAACCTACTCTAATTGTCGTTGCCTGTGAATGGTTTGTAATCCAAACATATGACTGAAATGAATATTAGAAAAATTCTTGAGTATTCGAAATATTCAAACCTTTATTATGAAACAATGCTAATCTCTTTAAGAGCAGTGTTGTTGTTAGCTGTACTAAGTACATGGTTGATTTTGATTTATGGTCTTTGTTTATAATTTGCTCTGGTCAGAAGATGGTATTAATTATTTCTTTTGTTCGTGTAATTTGTCTGTTGCAGCCAAAACTCAGTCCAGTCCATCAATGATTCTTGAACTTTCTGTAGAGAAATATTTCTCTCTTTTCAGAGGTGGTTTGTCAGGAAAATGATTTATAATAACTTAGTTGTTTTTTTTTACAACTGATGGTGCACGTATAAGCAAATGTCTGCCATGAAGTTACAGATCACGAAGTATTAACTTGTTTAGTTTTTGTCGTACGTGTTTCTTTGAGCTATATTTTAGGTCAATCCCGCAATCGGTACAGTTCTTTTATGAGTTTTTTTGTTTTTTTTAAGATGGTGGCTGCTTCTGGCTTTGAGATCCTGGACCCAAAACACGGAATGTTATAGGAACTAAGAAGAGAAAGCGTGTTAGGCTGTAGATGAGAAGGTCTAAGGTTTGAGGCACGAAATGCTGTTAAGCACGCTCCGCACTTTCACTTGATGGTGGGTTATAATTGTGACAGACAATACCGCTATTCGGTTAAAAGTAGATATGTAAGTGACACGTGCTACTAAATGGTCGCCTTCTCTCTGACCAGCGGTTTTCAATTAATATTGGCTATGCTTGAAATTTTGGTTATATGACATATGAAGTTCCGTTCACATTGGAAATTCAAAATACAAATAATAAAAAAAGAAGAAGAAACGAGGGATTTAATGGATGAAGTTATAAAATAGTGTTAATAATTTGTATCAGGCTATTTCCTCATCCAGGTCGACCACGTTTTATGTCAGACACAAATTTATATATAAATATAACCGCACAGATGATCTAGGACAAAGTTTAAGAAGGAAAGGAAAACTAGATACGATGGTAATAAAATCTAGGAAAACTTTGATTTGACACAAAGTTTCGAGCCTAAACTCTTGTTCAGGTATGATAAAGTCGTATATACCGAACACATTCGAATATCACTAAACAAGTTAACAACAGGAAAACGTGAGAAACATAGTTCGAAGTGTGATGTAACAATATTGGTGAAGCAATCATTGTAAAGAAATAACGTAAGTGAAAGAGAAGCAGAAGGATTGTTTGTTTGTTTCTAGTTAAGCACAAAGCTACACAATGGGCTATCTGTGCTCTGCCCACCACGGGTATCGAAACCCGGTTTCTAGCGTTGTAAGTCCGCAGACATGCCGCTGTGCCACTGGGGGGGGCGAAGGAGAAGGAAAAAAGTGTAAAGAAATGTAAAGCTGATATGTGAGGGGTAACAGTGGTAAAAGTCGGAGGATGTCAAAAGTAAAGTTACAAAAACTCGTCTCAAGCAAGTGGAGAAACTAGAGTATAAATAAGGCTTAGTTCTTCGCGTTCACGTAAATAACGGTTTGTAGGTGTAGACCTTAGAACAATTGGTTGCGTCTAGTCAAAGTTTTCCGAGATTTTATTACCATCGTATCTAGTGTTTCCCACCTCCTTTCTTGCTTAAACTTTTTTCCAGGTTTCATGTCAGTTAGTTTTTCCTGCCAGTTAGTTTTTGCAGGTCAGGCTATATTTTCATTGTATTAAATCGGGACTGAATGTCAATAAGTAAAATAATTAATTATATCAATAATTATCTGATTCACACCCTAACAATTGTTGTACATAACACTGATGATATGCTTGTATATATAATTAGAGAATGAGATGAAAATTAGATGGATGAAACAGAAAATTGCGTTGAATTACATGGAGATGAGTGAGGGAGGTGGTAAAACACGTGACATAACATTTCCTTAGTTTTACGACAGTTTTGAGAACAATGTAAAGCAAGGACTGATAGATGTAGGTTGAAGGAAACATCCCGAATGATGTAAAAGTGTTGTATCAATACAATTGGCTGAACCAAATTGAATTGGATTGAATGTAAGGGAACACGATGCTACAACTCAATGACAGTCAAGCCATTCCAGGATTGTGAAAGTCTACACAGTGATGGGAAATATGTTGAAATACCTCCAACATTATTAATGCTACGGTGGAGTGTGGATTTCATTCCTGTTTCATCGAGTGCGAGAAAGGATTCTCTCAAATCAACTTGAGATGAGTCGGCCCGCCTCTGATATTGTTCAAACCTGGAAGGGTTGATTTAAAATATAGCCAGGGAAATATCGACAGAAACCAATAGCAAGGCATGGTACCCCGATCCACAAGCAGATAAGAATACGTCGAATTTTTGAAAGCTACAGTAAATCAAGGTCAGTACGTTAAGCCCATAAACAAATATGCTTTTCTTATTCCCAAACCTTAAGAACCGGGACCTTTTCTTATTAAAAAAATATATGATTAATCGCTAATATATTTCGTTTGACTTACTTCGTTTCAGAAATATATATTTATATTTTTTTTTTGTCGTTTATAGAAAATGTTACTTTAAAAGTACTGTATATAAAAGGATGTTCTTTGCCTATTAGTTTGTATAACTGAGGAAGATAAAGTTACCGTATTTTTCGGTGTATAAGACGCACTTTTTTACCCCAAAATTTGATATCAAAATCTGCTTGTGTCCTATACACCGAAGGTATGAATAATATATACGATATACACAAGACATGTGTAAATATATTTAAATAGGCATGCATAGTTTAGTTCAATTGAATGTGTTATTTATAACAATAGTAATTTTTTTCTTTTAAAAACATAACTATTTATAATGCTCCCTAAATAATAAAAAATAATTTACAATGAGAGCAATGAAGATTTTGTAGGTCTTGAACGAAACGAAATAACAGTACGTTATTTTTATTTTTACGTTATTTTCTTATTTTGATGTTTTGAGCTCTTTTGTGTTTAGAACAATATATATACTAATTTTTAAAGTATCAACTTGAATTTTTGTTCAATAAAAATATTTCAAATGCGACTGTAGCTTTTTTTTCCCAAAACCTTTGTCTTCAAAATAAGGGTGCGTCTTATATTCCGAAAAAATCGCTATATATATATATATATTTGTTTGTGAGTGTGTGTGTGGATGTAGCTATAGAAATATTTTCCAAAATAATTTCCTACTTATTTCATTCACATGCGCCCCTCAGTGGCACAGTGTTAAGTCTGGGGACTTATATCGCTAAAAGAGGGTTTCGATATCGTGGTGGGCACAATGTGTAACTTTTTGCTTAACTAAAAACAAATATTCTTATTTTTCTTTTATAACCAATTTTAAACTTCCTCAACAATGAGCACTGACCTCTTTGTCATCAAATTAGATAGAAAAATTAAGGGAACTTTCTTGTACATAAATTAACAAGTACGTGAATATAGCAATAACATTTTCTTCTTCAAACTGAATAGGACATACAACTCGGAGAAATATAAATTTCATTTATATTAATTGTTTTTCTTGGATTTAACTCGGAGGGTGTAGGTTTACCTAATATTTTATCATATTTTTACCACTTAGCAAAGCGTGTTTTGCTAGGACGAATTGAAAACACAATCTAAAACTTAAAAATCGGAGACACGGTTTCTTTTTTTTATGTCCATAGACCTTTATTTGGAATATTAAGTTTTAATAAAATTGGAAATGTCAAATACAGGTTCGAGTACGTTATATTATGCCACTAAAAATGTGAGAGTATGAAATGCCCTTCAGATGAAAATATTCATACTCTCAGATTAAATAGACGTGTTCAGATCGGGTATTTAAAACTTCCAACACGATCATATTACTTTACTTAATAGTATTGGAAAACAAAGGAATATGAATCCAACTGTAGCACAGGACTATCTAGAAACAGTGGTATCCCAGTCGTGGTAAGCAAAGTGCTGGGTCATGTAACAAGTGAGGATCCACAAACACAAAAGTCAGTGGCAAAAGTCATTCACGTGCCCCAGTTAACAAGCAGTGTATAACATGATCAGGAAGGATCTCTGTCTGGAAAGTCAAAACAAGTCACATATACACAAGTTGCTTCTACGACATATCAGTTCAGCCGTCGGATTCCTAAAGCAGCTGGAGAATTAAATGGGTAATCATGTTATTCCTTACAAAGACATATCTGTCAAGTCGCCTATGGATTTTCCTGCGATTAAAACGTCGAAAATACGCTGGGAAACCGTTGTCCTCGTACACTAGATGGCTTATGAAAAGTCACAGGAAAGAGGGTGTATGCTTTGAGCATGAAAACCTTACGACAGAGCCTTTTGTAATGGGAACTACGCAACAGGGATATTTTCAAGATGCTTCGTCTTCAGATAGAGCATGACTTAACGTGGCGATACGGACTGTAACAATGTGGTGAGGCTCCAAAATCGTTTTAATATAACGTACTCAACCTCTGTACACATTTTGTAACCGAGGTCAGTCAGATTTCATGTAAGTGTTCTACACATGTATGGATTTTAGTATTTTCTTTCAACTTCTAGTAAAGTTACGATTGTGTCGTGTTTTTTTTCTCAATTTTCTTATTGCTTTAAACTGTTATTTTATATTGTTTATAAAAAATCTAACAAATTTGATCCTTTATTATACCAAATGTTTAAAACAAGTTTTAACATTATCCAATGTGAACATATTTGTAATGTAACTCAAAATAATATACATTTTACTGTTTCAATGTGAACTGTTTATTTTACCTTCTACAATATCACTTTCAAAAAACTTTTTTTCAGGTTTCACATTCTTGAATATGACAATTTAATCTCAAAGGAGATCTACGAAATAAGGCATCTTCAGTAGATCTTAATGGTGGCCGTGATGACCATGACCTCTAGATTTAAACTGTGCGTTTGTGACGCTTACGGGATGGTGCTCTGTCTTCTCTATAATGCAGCACGAGAGACGAGTCCCTGAGTTACCGTTCACAAGATTTGCTGGGTTATCGGGGCTGTTCCCAAAGTCATGTGGATTAGCATGGATCTGTCAACACATAAACATGGAGTTAATGCGTTAAAGTCATTTAAAGAAAATGTCCATTAATTAATTATACAATTTTGAAATAATATCACAATATATTCATAACCTATAACCATACAAGCATTGTATATTTTCTTTCAAAGGCATGTTGTAATGAAAAACTATATTTATTTGGATACTTTTGTAAGCTCTGTTTTTAACATTTTAATTTAGATGTTTGTTTGCTAGAGGGAGGATGTCATTACGTCACGACGATGCAAAATTAAGAAATTTCATTACAATTAGGGTCTTTGTGAGAATCTCGAAGTTTCCTTGTACAATACGAAAATGATTGAGTGCGTAAAGTTGAATTTATAAGTAAGCAATGAATGAATCAGTGCAGTGCAAGTTAGTAAGTTAGACAGTGAATGTTAATGCACCTGTGATTGAGATAGTCAGCCTGTTTGTTACACATCAATTAGCGAGGAAATTATACAAGTAAATTTAGAAGTAAGTTAAGCGTACATTAGTTTAGGAGTTTCTGTTGAAAAACATGTTTATGGAGTTAGGTCTACAAGTAAACCTAGCCTGTAGTAAACATTACTGAAGAAATAAATTAATTCAATATTGTTACATGGACTAGATTTCACATTATTTTTTAATAAGTAATAATAATAAACTATCTAACGATAGAACACGTTACAACAATACTAGATACAGATAACATTGTTGCTGTGGCTTAAAATGTTGTTCATTTCAGGTACAGTTATGTTATTGACCGCCTGTCTGTATCAGATATATTATACGAACATTGTTCATAAGAAAGGTAAAGAACGACTCACACTTCCGTTTCTCAAGATTTTAACTGCATTTAGTTAAATTCAATGTAAAAGGAAAACATGAACATTTTACAAAACATTTTAGTTCTCAACTAAGTGATGGATTCAAGAGGGTTACACCCCCATCTTCTATCAATAACTGTTTTGTTTTTTTCATTTATAGTGAACAAATGACACGTAATATTCGTTGCAAATCTATTGTTACTTCAACTAAATTTACATTTCAAATCTTCTATTCCACGTCCCTAATATTTTAGAAACTATAACAAATGCAGATGACTATAACAGTTTTAATATCTGTGGCGTGTTTAAGTATGTAAAGAGTTATAAATTTTTATGGATATTAAACGTATCGGAAAAGTTTTTTAAGTTAGTGTTTTTGTACACAAAATGTTTCTAGATGAGGATGTGTTTACAGTGAGCAATTTCTTTTTAAAAATAGTCCCTAGCGCCTTCTAACTGAAAGTCCTGGATTTGTCTCTGCCTTAAGCCTACTTAGACATTTCATCAGTTTACGAGAATGTAGTAAAATACTGGACATGTAGATTTTTAATTTTTCGCAAAACAAAAACAGTTCCTTTAATTTCTGTACTTCGGTTTAAATAAATTAAGACTTAAAAACTTTTAAAATTTATACAACAAACGCTAATGTGTTGTTAACTTTTATATAAGCATAACTTTCTTCTATGCCTACTAATCCAACGGTCCTTGTAAGGGATCAGTGAACGAAGAAATATGTTTTCGAATCCAATATTTATATAAATTTTAAACCTACCACTAGGGCTTTACCAACGATGGAGTTGGGTCCAATGAGAGAAACTGCTGAATTTGTGAGGATCGTGTTAGTCACGCCAAACTGGTCGCAAGCAATATTGCCGAAACCTCCCACGTGTCTACAATAAAATAAAATAACACTTATTTAACTCTCTCATTTATTATTCCCAAGAAATAGTAAACGTTAAAGTTTATTAAATATCTGGCAATGAGAGAAAATAATAAATTAACTCTATGGTATGTCTGTTAACAAGAAATCGTATCGATTAATATGTTAGACCACACATATCCACTAAAATTATCATAAAAATTCTTAAATCTCCCGCATCCACAGTTACGTTATTTACATTTCTAGTACAATGTAAAATCATAGTTGCTTGATTCTCCTACGTGGCTGTTTGTTTGTTGTTAAGCGCAGAGCTACACAGTGAGCCATATGTGCTCTGCTCACCGTGGGAAGAATCGAAGCCCGAGTTTCAGCGTTGAGTCCGCAGACTATCAGCCAAGCCATTGGAGAGGGAGGGGAACATTGTTTTTAACAAGAAATCGTATCTGCTAGTTTCCCCAGCACATGGTTGTCAGAAATATCATAGTTACCTAAATCTACCTCCCCAACCTTCCCCCCGTGGCACAACGGTAAGTCTGCGGGCATATAACAAACCGGGTTTCGATACCCATAGTGGGCACAGCACAGATAGTTCATTGTGTTTATTTGTGCTTAACTATAAACAAATAAACATATTTAAGTCTACCACATATATATCAATACTAAAATACAGTATCAGTTACGCCAATAAAGGATCATAGTTGCTTAATTATCCCACATAACTCTTAACAAGAAACAATATTTCCTTAAGTCTCCCATGTAGCTCATGACAAGAAACAATATTTCCTTAAGTCTCCCATGTAGCTCATGACAAGAAACAATATTTCCTAAGTCTCCCATGTAGCTCATGACAAGAAACAATATTTCCTTAAGTCTCCCATGTAGCTCATGACAAGAAACAATATTTCCTTAAGTCTCCCACGTAGCTCTTAACAAGAAACAATATTTCCTTAAATCTCTCATGCAGCTCATAACAAGAAACAATATTTCCTTAAGTCTTCTATGTAGCTCATAACAAGAAACAATATTTCCTTAAGTCTTCTATGTAGCTCATAACAAGAAACAATATTTCCTTAAATCTTCTATGTAGCTCATAACAAGAAACAATATTTCCTTAAGTCTTCTATGTAGCTCATAACGAGAAACAATATTTCCTTAAGTCTTCTATGTAGCTCATAACAAGAAACAATATTTCCTTAAGTCTTCTATGTAGCTCATAACAAGAAACAATATTTCCTAAAGTCTCCCACAATGTGTACCAAACATATCCCAGTAATTTAAACCTCCCATGTGCTTACTAAAACAAAATCATATATGCTCGAGTCTCCCTTAAATCACCTTGTTCAAAACAAAACCACGTTCAGGGCGACAAATAAAAGAGAAACACTGTATGTCCTTTTAATTTTGAGATCTTGTAAAACTTTGCATCTACAACATTTTTAGAGTTGCAAAGAACTCCTAAGCCTTTCTGTTTGAGAGAAATAACTATATGAAATTAATTTGTTAGTTACAGAAAATATTCAACCGTTCTGTTGGGACGTAACGATATGATGCTAATTTCGCGCAGCATATCATACATTAGAAACGATGACGCAAGATATGCAGCCCAGTAACACGTCTACATTCATTTAGGGTATGAATACTCGTGTTTCTCAACTAAATAATCCCTGGAAATTAATAATGTTCTTGTTATTCTCGGAGTCTCTTAAGTCACTCAAGTAAGAATTCGTGACCTAGAACAACAAACTCACTTCTTTTAGAATCTCTTATATTCAACGACAAAACAATGTTACTGCTCCACCTGGAACCTCCTGTGTTTCACGAGTATATTATAATCCTGTCGAGGAAGAAAGTTCCTGTTTCTCTAGGAATATCTAATCTTGTTCAAGTGAATAACACTTTACCAGTAACATGTTTCTTATCCTCTTGAAACCACTTTGTTGTTCAAGTGAATAACACTTTACCAGTAACATGTTTCTTATCCTCTTGAAACCACTTTGTTGTTCAAGTGAATAACACTTTACCAGTAACATGTTTCTTATCCTCTTGAAACCACTTTGTTGTTCAAGTGAATAACACTTTACCAGTAACATGTTTCTTATCCTCTTGAAACAACTTTGTTGTTCAAGTGAATAACATTTTACCAATAATCTGTTTCTCTTCCTTTTGTTCCTCTCACAATCTCTTTATCCTGTACAATAAATAGTTATTGACAAAGAACAATGTAGATCTTTTGTTTATTGATTAAATAATTTTAGATTAAACAATACGTACAGGAAATCTCTCTCGATCTCCATTCGGTAGTTAAATTGGAATTTTGAAAAAGGTGGAACTCCTTTTTGTGATCCCCCCTTGACCTTCCGATCAAAAAAACCAGAAACACTAATGGCTTGACTCCTCAGAGGATGGAACGCCGTTTCGAACTGTTCCGCTTCTATTTTAACCCTGCTTCAACTTAATATTGCTAATCCATTACTGTTAATTGATTTTCCTATTCAGTCGAATACTTATAATATGTCTGTATTTTTGTGATATATGAACGTAATCAAAACATACAAATATTCGCCTCCAAATTTGAAATTATTTAACATTTGGCTTAATCAAGTTTGAAAACATGTTAAATAATTAGTAGTGAAATAATCACAAGGTCACTTTCTTTGTTCAAATTTTCTAAATAATAAACGTAATGTTTCAGATGACTGGGTAATGACAGAGTTATAATCTTCTTTTTAAGGAACATTTTAGGCAGCATATAGGCTGCTCGTGCCTTCTGTCTAGTTTTGGAGATGACGTTTCGTTGTCTGGGCTGAAGAAGTGAGCACAGAGTCCGAAACGTCGTCTTCAAAACTAGATGGACTGCAGAAACAGTCCATGGGTGTTGTTACGCACAAAGCTACGAAATAGGCTATCCGTACTTTGTCTACCACGAGTATCGAAACCCGACTTTTAGTGTTGTAAGTGCGCATACTTACCGCTGAGTCACTGAAGGGAAATATATTCAGAGTTATCGTGAAGCAATGAAAACCAGTAAGATCAAAACAACACCCCTGAACTAGCGTACAACACACTTAAAACACGTCTACAATATTCGGGACAAGGCGTGACTATATAAGCCTTAGTAGGCGACATTAAACACATCTGTTATCATCTGAAGAAATAAATAACGCCCGATTGTAAATAAGATATAATTGGGTAAAATATTAAATGATTTAAAAGACAATACGAGTTGGAAAGAGAACACGTTGGTGGAATGTTTAAAAATACAGAATTAAACAAGATATTAAATAATCTTCCTTACACAGCAGATGGAATTGAAGGAAGTATCTATTTTCATCTTCTCCTACATTGTACTATCAATAAATTAATTTCTAAAACAATAAATCGCTGTTATTATTAAATAAAATAATGTGTGGTATATTACGGTATAAAATACCAATAAAGAAAACTATGTTAAAACTTATTGTGGTGTAATATAACACAAACTATCGATTTAACAAAGGTGGGAGAGTAGTCAACTATGTTAAAACTTATTGTGGTGTAATATAACACAAACTATCGATTTAACAAAGGTGGGTGTAATATAACACAAACTATCGATTTAACAAAGGTGGGAGAGTGGTCAACCTCCTCACTCTTTACGAGTAAGTTTTCGGAATTAGCTAGTTTGTGTGGTTTAAAACGTTTTACGTGAAATCATGTTCCAAATCCCCATCTGGTTATAACACAAAGATTCGGAGTTCGATTCTTGCAGTGAGCACACCACGGATAGCCAATTGTAGGCCGACCTACCTTACTGGAGAGCTGGGACCGCCATGTTGTTCGTCTGTTGGGTTGAAAAGTGGGCCTGTCGACTGGCAGCCGTCACTCAGATCACCTTTTGAGTGCACGTGGAACCCGTGCTGGTGGGAATTCGCGCCAGGGTGGTGCCCATCCTCGTGTCGAGAGACGTTGAATCCACGAACACGTACGTGTACGTGTAGTGTGCCACCATTTTTCTGTTGAGTTTCAGAATTTAGGAAATATTAGCTACCATTAAAAAATATAACCCTGATATGTTATATATATATAAGTGCATAAAACATATATCTCTACTTTGTACTATTGGTTGGATTATTATTATTACTATGACAAATAGAGGTTTCTAGCTCTAGCCGTAGCCAAATACACTTACTGTTCAAGTAGGTTACGTGATTTTCTTTACTAATTACGTTCAGTATTTTTTTATAGAGTCAAAAATCAGTGATAAATCCCAAACATACATGTTGCCACAGAATAACGTTTCCATGTACATTCTGTTGGTTTTCTTTGGGAATGGCTCGATTCGGCATCATCCGGCAGATGGCATGTTCATACTCATCTCCATAGAAGACTGAAAAAAAAATGTTACATATTGTTTGCTGTAACAATGTTACGGTTTTAAAAAGTGAAAACAATGTTATCATATACCTATTTTTGCGAAATTTGTCAAGCTCAAATCTGGGTTAGACTCGACAGAGTTCGATTTCTTTGGTTCACACTTTACAAAAACAAAATAACTAAATGTTTTATTGTATAGGAATAAGAAATGCTTTATATAATATGACTGTGTGGTAATATACAATTTTCAAAAAGTTTAATTTATTCATGTGTATGCGTGGTTTTTACATAACGCATTGGTCAAGAAAGTTGTTAAGTTCCTTTCATTCTAGCTACCTATTGCTCTGTGTCACCTTTGTTTTCTCGCGGAAAAGGTTTCTGCAAGGTTATACATGGTGTAAGTATAAACAGCGATCTTTTCATTGGTTGGTCAGGTGATGTTCGGAGGCTACAACCTCACTTGTAATCAGTAGGAATGACAAACAGCAACGTGTGTAGCACAAATCACCCTGGAAAAATATGATTTTTATAGCTAAGTATAGAGCATCATGCTTTTTAGGGCGGAACAACTTATACGATTTGAACAATTTATAGAGATGCTACAGATCCTAACTTTTATGTATGATTCACTAGCTAGAGAGATTTTAGCTTTTCATCTTGTATATATATTTTGTTGAAATGAAACAGTTGAGTTGTGGTTCTTAAGGTGCATCTTGAAGGTATGTCGGACAAGTCACACCTCAAATGAAGATATTTTGTCAAGATCAGGTTGCAGGAGGAAGCTGCTGACTAGCATCAGAAAGAGACAGTTGGAGTTTCTTGGACACGTTATAAAGAAATAAGAAATTGAAAGTTTGGTCGTAATTGGATAAATTGAAAGAAGGAAAGACCGTGGAAGACAGAGGTTGACTTATGTCAAGAGTCTATCTAAATAGATGAATATATCAATACTGGAAATTCTTTGTGTCTCAAGGAGAAGAGATCTGTGGAAGACCGTGGTCACCAATGTCCTGTTTGGATGTGGTACATAGAGAGAGAGAATTTGCTATGATTTAATTTAATTTAGAGATCTCTTTCCAGTAAAGACTGTCTTTCCATCTAAAATACAGACACTATTGTTTGAATCAAATAAAGACAGTTTTCTCTGTGTATTTCATATTTCTGTCCACTATCTTTCTGTACAAACTCACTCAGGTTCAAATAATTTAGAGTTACTTTGTAAAATACATCCTGGTTGAATCTCCTATTATTATATGGACCTATCTAATTCATTCAGTTTTAGATGCCCCAGACCGTTTGCATAAAGTAATTTTGAATTACATACAGGGGCGCTACAGATATACATTTTTAAAACAACTCCCTTTCAAAAGGAGCCGGATGTGGCCTAGTGGTTAGAGTATTGGGCTGCGGGTCCAGGAATCGAGACGTGATGCACGGTAAATTCCAGTTTCTCCGAATATATTAGTAATGGGCTAAGATAAGAAGAAAAATATTCAATGTTTTAGTTTAAGATGTGTCCGTTACGATAGTGGATCAATTGTGTGTAAATCAACTCCCAAATTACAGACTTGTTTTCATTCCACTCAAAACCGGTGGGGGGGTCCATATATTGCATTACATTCAGTAATTTTTTGTTTTTGGCTCAGTGTAAAAAGTTGGCCAAAAATTTGGATGAAATTACTCACTTTCTATCTAAAGTGCATAGGGGACCATAATTGTATTAAATAAAATATTGACGGCATTTGTGGCTCATATTTTTATTAAGGATTCTGTAACATTATAAGCCCACAACAAGTTGGTGAATAAATAGTTTAGAAAAAATGTGTTTAAACGTGATCCTCATCGGTAATTCCAGAGTTAAGAATACTTTAGCTCTCAGGTATGAAAGTTAAAATAAATATTTAACTGTAAAAAAGAAGAGCTCAAAACGAAGCTACGTTAGAGGTAGCTTGTTTACAAACACTGACAAAATGATTGCATTACAGAAAGACTTATCTAGCCGGCTGAAATATAACAAAGCATAATTATGAATTTTCGGAAATTATATATTTGTAGATCCCTTTTTTTACTGCATAATTTTAAAATGCAACCTTCAAAATGCCGAAAATTACTTAATGGAGATTCATTCTCTTATCTACTAAAGTGAAACTTTCACAAAACAATGACTAAAGTCTTTTAATAGGTGGAATTGGGATTTTCTACTTAAGCGACACTTTATGGACACGTCGACAAAACTGCCAGGTCAAAGACCTTTAGGGTTCTAGTGCAGTCGTCCAGCATTTTGAAGTATTGAAGAGCAGGACGATAGCCAGCAGCACTCAATGCCACAAGGGCCTTGTCTGGCTCTTTGAACCAAATAACAGAACTGACTGTAACTTTTATAATACACCCAAAGCTGAAAGTGCAGAACATGTTCAGTAGTATCACGTCTTGATCCTGGACCCTTTAATCCGGGGTCCGATACGCTAACTACTGGGTCTTTTTTTTTATTATTTATACTTCAAGGATTGATTCAGCTAAGTCTCGTAGCATTTTTTCCTTATACTTCTCAACCAATCAAGAAATTAACTTATGGCTAGGGCTGAACGAGAATAATTTGTTAAATTTTTCAATTCTAATTAAATATTGAAAATTCTTTGTCATGTATATTGGATATAAAGCCTGATTTATAATGAAATTTCTTTGTTTGTACTGAATTCTTTGTTCATGTTTTAAAATGCAAGTACAGGACAAAAAAGGAACGAAAAAGGTTAATAGTTTTATAAACTAACAGTCATGCCAAGCAAAAGTATCTGAAAAAAGTTTTTTTGTTTATTGTTAAGCACAAAGCTACACAAGGGGCTATCGTAACAAATTTAATGAATAACAGGGATTGCAGTGAAACAAAAAGGAAATTTACTCCCTCTAGCGATCATCAAAGCCCCCCACAAAATTCTAGTTAAAATCGCAAAAAATTTACATATTTATTCAATGTTAAGCAGTGGAAAATTCAGCTGTATATTCCTTTCTGTGTCTGTTGAGTTGTTTCCCTAATTAACAAGTGTTACACAACGTTGAAAATATCATCGCGTTCAGAGGCTCCAAAGTCATCCCCTCCCCCAAACAGTGATGAGACTCTAGAACTGTCCCTGGTGAAGAATTAACATTATAAGTAAACTTTCAGGCAGTGACGTGGAACATATTTAAGTGTCTAGGGATCTGTGACACTGATAACAATGCACATTTTATACTCTGGTCTGGTGCAAAAAAATCCTCGCCATGGAATCTCCAAGGAGTTGTTGTCCGTAGTTAGAGAAAACACATTTCTGCGTTGTTTTTCTTACGTCACCAAAACAAAAACTTTATTACAAAGCCATGCCACTAATTATGCCTCACATTGGCACAGCGGTATGTCTGTGGACATACAACGCAAGAAACCGAGTTTCTATACCTGTGGTGGGCAGAGCACAGATAGCTCATTGTGTAGCTTTGTGTTTAACTTCAAACAAACAAACAAACCACTAATTATTCTACTGTGTAGGCTTAGAGACGTTGAAAGAATTAGGAGGGCAAACCATAAAGTCAAATAATATAAAAAAATCAGTATTTTCAACAAATTTACGAGCTTCTACTCCTCACCACTGACTAAGAAAATAATAAAAAATATAATAGTCTTCAGGATCATTATAAAAACCATAACTATACACGGGTTTATCTTACTTTAAGTTCATTATTCTAGGTTGAGTTCTTTAATTTTAACGGAAATATACTACAGGATGGGAGGAATCTTAGGTTTAACGATGGTATTTGATATATCTGAGAAAGACTTTTTTACGTGTCAAATTTGAATATAAATAAAATAGCGTGCCCTTTGAACTACTGATACGCTATGCTACTAAGCTGTTTTAGATGGAAATATCTGGAACGTTTCGAACAAAATCTATTTAATTTTATTGATCGCTTCTAACTTCAAACTGTGGTGAATTCATCGAGTTACATTCTGGTCTGTGAAAATGACTTGGAAATTTACCTCTGTGTCCTCCATGAGCTCGTGGGCCATTGAAAGCAAACAAGTTCATATGGTTATGCTCAGAGTGATGGTGACCATGATGGTGGTGATGATAGCTGTCCGTTTTGGTTTCTTCTTCTTGCGAATCTCCGTGATGGTCATGATAACTGTCCGTTTTGGTTTCTTCTTCTTCTTGCGAATCTCCGTGATGGTCATGATGGTGGTGTGAATGCTTGGAATGATGTCCCATTCCACCTAAATTGTTGAATAACAATATTCAAGAAGACTGATTCAAAGATTTTCATTGCATACAAAAGGGAAAAAAAATTACCAAACCTAATTTAACCACAAATTACAACCAATCATTTAAGGCTTTTTTAATGATATTCTAATTATTTTAGTATCCTAAACCTAATTTAACCACAGATCACAACCATACATTTAAGGATTTTTATAATATTCTAATTATTTTAGTATCCTAAGTCTAATTTAACCACATATCACAACCATCAAGAGCATCCGCAGAAAAGAAATTAGGGGGGGGGGGGCAAGTAACTTAAGTTTGAAAATCGAAATACAAATACCTTATGATTTCCCAATAACATAGAAGAATAATGTTACATATCTAGTAATTTTTCTTTTTTTTGAAAATCTAGGGTGGGGCTCACTTGATTCGTTGGTAAAAGACTAGACAAAGAGTTGACAATGGGTGTTGATGACCAGCTGCCTTCCCGCTAGTCTTTCACTGCTAAATTAGGGACGTCTAGTGTAATTTTGCGAGAAGTTCAAAACAAAGTAGATAATCCTGCAAAACAGTTACTCTAACACAGAATTCAGGTGGAGTTTTGTAAATAGACTACTTTCTAAATTGCTTACCTTAATAAAAGAAATGAAAAGTATAACAAAATAATTTATAAGTTAATAAATGACCGTTTATTCTTTATTCATAATGATAAAGAGACCACTCTTCCAAGTTGTTCGAGCTTTGTGAAATCATTCAAATGAATCCCACTGTCTTCTTATTTCGGAATTACATAGAGTATTTGTTTGTAAATAAGCATAAAGTTACACAATGGGCTATCTGTGCTGTGCCCACCACGGGTATCGAAACCTGGTTTCTAGCAATATAAGTCCACAGGCATACTACTGTGCTTCAGAGAGTAACAACAATTTAACATTTGTTTAATATTTTACTAAAGTGTGCAGAATAAAAGAACACGAGAATGCTAAAATAATTAGAATATCATAAAAAATATCATGGGCGCCCGCAGGAAGGGGCAAGGGGGGGTAGTGGGACTGGCCGTCACATTATAACGCCCCCACGGCTGAAAAGGCGAGCATGTTTCATGACGGGGATTCGAACCCGCGACCTTCAGATTGCGAGTCGAGCGACTCATCGGAATTATTTCACCAGCAGTTTTCCTCAAATATGGATCGCCATTAGTTAACTCAGCAAGATTATGAAATTTCAAAATGGACGTCAGCACCAATTAAAGGTTATACAGTATATTTTGTACAATCTATAATATATTTCACCACCAAAATGTCAAAGCACTTAGGTTCTTAGGAAATCCAGCATTTTGTTTTCCATTAAAGTGAACACTATTTACAGAAATATGTAATAGACTATAATGCTAGTGCTGTTCTCTCTCACACACGTGATAGTTGTCACTACACCCTTGTATAACACATTTTTCTAAAATACGTATAAATTTCCTTTTATTTCTGAACCTGGTGTTTACAATACAACTTTGCTTACCATGAGACATGCTGAAATGTTGGTGATCATACATAATTTTATGTAAGGTTCCGTGCATTTCTCTTTCGTGGCCGTGAAGGTGTTCCAGGTTTTCTGTTACCGCACGGCGGAACTGATCGAATGCCTTTATTAATGATGTCATGTTCTTTTTCAAAATTTCTATTTCATTGGCCAAATTTTCTCCGTCTGTTAAATAGAACAAAAATAAAGTCTGGTATTCAACTGGTAATAAAAATACGTCTGCTTTAAAATGCAATATTTATAACACTGTGAGAAGTTTTAATGAACATTATTAAATATTCATTTTGTTCATTACCTTATACTTATAGTATTAAGAGTATTAGCAAGTTTCCGAGGTGACTTATGCAGAACTCATATAATAAACCTTACGCTTTTCTTCGAAAGGGACTCAAAGGTCGCCTGAAGAAATCATCTGTTTTAACCACTCGCACCACGATACAGTAGTGTGTTGTCTGTCTGTCAGTCAGTAGACACTAAAGTGGCATTACATAAGGGACACTGTCATTACTGAGCAGCCCAAGTAATAACAACACTAGTAACTGACAGATCACTGAATAGTGTAGCATTGTTGGATACTGTCATTACTGAGCAGCCCAAGTAATAACAACACTAGTAACTGACATATCACTGAATAGTGTAGCATTGTTGGATACCGTCGTTACTGAGCAGCCTTAGTAATAACAATACTAGTAACTGACATATCACTGAATAGTGTAGCATTGTTGGATACCGTCGTTACTGAGCAGCCCAAGTAATAACAACACTACTAACTGACATATCACTGAATAGTGTAGCATTGTTGGATACCGTCGTTTCTGAGCAGCCTTAGTAATAACAATACTAGTAACTAACATATCACCGAATAGTGTAGCATTGTTGGGCTATAATATGCTCGTAATTTTAGAAAACTGACAAATATTCGGGTCGTTCTTTAAATTATGACATTATAAACTAACTTACAAGGTTAAACATTTGCAAAATTCCTATAATAATTTATATTTGAAGTAAAACATTTTATGAAAAATTAGCTGAGAGAATATGCAATTTTCTAATGTGCTCGGTGCCTAGACACATATTATCTATATTCGTCAAATAAGAATAATTCTAAATATTCTTAACTAAATATATATTAATGTGGTGTATAAGAAAGGATTGCGAAATAGTGAAGGTGTTTGTAAAAAGATAATATCAGAAAACGATTATTAAGAAGTAAACGTTCGAAAAACAGAAGGGGAAGAATTTATACATCGGTAATCTACTTTATGTCATCCATGTTGAAAAAAAAATAACCCCTGGAGGGAAAATGGAAGAAAACAACATGTTAGCTGATGATACACTACTTCTGAAACACACCTAAGTAACGACGTGTAAATTCAGCTCATACACTACTTCTGAAACACACCTAAGTAACGACGTGTAAATTCAGCTCATACACGATGATTCCAAAAATACACACACACATAGCATAGTGTTGAACTTCATCAACCCCTGTAAAAAGTTTTACAGGATACAACAAAATATGTTACGAGATGTTTAGTAAATAAGATTTGAAAATTGAATTAATTAGAAATTTTAATAAGGTTAACTGCATGGATCAGAGATTTATTAATTAAAAACGTTAAGAATTACAAATTATTTTCTACACAGAAAAGAGACACGATAGTTATATTTGTACCTGCGTTTGCGTGAAGAAACAACGTCAGAAGGACAAAAGGAAGGACGAAAACGAATCGCATCTTGTCTCTTGGTGTCTGTCTGGAAGAATAGTCCGGGAAACAGCTTTCCGATTCTATTAAATAACGTGTTTACAACTGAACTTCGGAGGATGTCAAAGTTCAACGTGTGTATCACACCAGTTCGACAGTTCAAACTTTGGTCAAAGGAAAATGACCTTCACTCTACGCTTAGAATATAGTTTGGTTGTATGTAAGAAAGGTCACGTGAATGGGTTGTTGACTGTTACTCATGCCGCCCAAAAGCTCAGAAATCAAAGAGCTAAATCCTTACAAACAACAATACTTATCTGTAAATAATTTTGTTTTTCCGTTCAGGCCTCTCAACAACATCTCAGTTTAAAGGTTTCAAAAATAAAGACCAAAATGATGAAATCAGGGGTTCATTTAGCACAAAACAAAGGAAGTTTCTGTTCATATTGGAAAACTGTTGTCAGCATGTTACAATAAACATCAATTTCATTACAATTAAAAATTGAGAAGGAAAAGTTCGGTCTAAATTTACATAAGATCAACAAACTCATTACTGTTATTTTATGTAGTACTACATCAACTTCAAACCCTTTATATTCCCCCCTCCCCCCCAGTGGCTCAGCTGTAAGCAGGCAAAAACTGGGCTTCGATGACTGTGATGGGCACAGCATAAATAATCCATTGTGTAACATTGCGCTTAATAACAAAAAACAAAACTGTACATGATTTTTTACTTATTTGATGTAGTACTACATCAACTTCAAACCCTTTATATTACCCCTCCCCAGTGGCTCAGCTGTAAGCAGGCAAAAACTGGGCTTCGATGCCCGTGATGGGCACAGCACTTTTTCCCTATTATAGATAATGCAACTCATCATTTCTCTTACGATTAGGTTTTTCATTCTCTTTAAAATTGTTCCTTCTTTTCCCTATTATAGATAATGCAACTCATCATTTCTCTTACGATTAGCTTTTTCATTCTCTTTGAAATTGTTCCCTTTTTTTACTATTATAGAGAATGTAACTCCTCATTTCTCTTACAATTAATTTCTTCATTCTCTTTGAAATTGTTCTCTTTTTTCCCTATTATAGAGAATGCAACTCCCCATTTCTCTTACAATTAGTTTTTCATTATCTTTAAAATTGTTCCTTATTTCCCTATTATAGAGAATGCAACTCCCCATTTCTCTTACAATTAGCTTTTTCATTCTTTTTGAAATTGTTCCCTTTTCCCTATTATAGAGAATGCTAAAAAGGGAACAATTTCAAAGAGAATGAAAAACCGAATTGTAAGAGAAATGATGAGTTGCATTCTCTATAATAGGGAAAAAGGGAACAATTTCAAAAAGAATGAAGAAACTAATTGTAAGAGAAATGGGGATTTGTATTCCCTATAATAGGGGAAAAATGGAACAATTTCAAAGAGAATGAAGAAGATAATTGTAAGAGAAATGGGGAGGCCTTTATGTTAGGTCTGGTTATAATTATGGTTTCCGGGGGTCACTTATGACCTTTCAATGGTGACAAGTGCTTTGTTGATGCTGAGATTCCTTTCACTGTCTGTTTGACCATGGGCCAAAGCAAGGGCAAACTTGGTCAAACCTGATAAAAGGATTAACTTGCTTTCTTCAAATACATTTATAATTGCAAAGACTTTGTTACAGAATATCTCCATCCTATTTTCCTCTTAATCGTATACTAATTTTAAGGGATGTTTTCTAGCTGATAAAGGCGGAACTCACCAATCACTGAGGCAACCTGTTCCACTGTGATGCAAAGAAGTTTCTCAGTCAATTACTTAATATTTTCCTAACTTTCCGACTCAAAAGGATACAGATACTACAAAGAATGAGCCAGCATGTTGCTCACTGTAAGATTCTTTTGCAGATACTGGATAGTGGTCACAAAAACTGCCTCTTTATGGTCAAGTAGGTCTTTTTCTGTAAGTCGCTTTTGATATATATAACAGTAGGTCTGATTATGCCAATTTCTAGATCATTGTCATCTCCTTGATGTTTTGTCACATCAAGTGTGCCGATTCTGTCCTTTGGAATGTCTTGGACCCCTTTCAGTAGTTTCATCCTTAGCTTGGCAATCGGTTCCAACATACATATGTGAAGGATGTAAACCAGTGGTCTAGATGTCTGCATTAGCTTCAGAACTTCATCAAATATGAGCTTCTGTGCAATCCTTTAGTAGTGAAATTTATTTTTATATTTTAGTAAACAGTGAGAAGCCATGTGGTGTACGTTTTCAGGAGCTGCCACAGCTGCTTCAGATGAATCAGTGTTGGAATAAGGGAAAACCACGCTGTTTCTCCGTGCTTCAGAAACTGGAGCACCTCCAAGTTCATGTACACTAGCTGCAGTTTGAAATGATCTTTTCTATGAGAACTGTTGTTGAAGAAGAAGTATACATCAATGACTTGGCCATCAGCAGTGTCACCAAATTCTGCTAAACCCTCCCGGAAAGCATTGTGGACTTCAAGGGTTGAACAAAATTGCATATCAACGAGGCCAGATCTGGAGTGCAGTGATGCAATTGCTTCTGCAATATAACACTTGACTGCTTTGTTCACATTGGGTCTTTCAGTTGCTTTGTTCACGTTGGGTCTTTCGGTTGATGGAGGACAACTTCAAGTTCTTGAAAGGTTTCAATAATTTCTTTGATAACGTTTTCTGCAAGAACGTACCCAATGAAAAGAGTTCCGAAAAACCTTCCAATTCTTGTATAAACCATGATTTGAGTGGTTGTGGTTTTATCAAAGTGGAGTGTGACAAATTTATTCTATTAATTTTCATTCAAAATACGGATGTAAGACATGTGAGAAGAAATAAGACATTTTTGGAGTTGATGACGACATAAAATTTTTTCATAATCTGAAAACATCTCTTGGATTAGCTCACCAATGCTATTACAAGAGAAGAACGAGTGATTAGCATCCATAACTTTCACGTTAAATAGTGCTTCTGCTTTCAGAAACTGCTGCCGCAGAGAGAGATACTTCTTCATCATGGGGTTATTTTCCAATGCTTTTGAAGTGGAAGATGAACTGGCCAATTTCTCTGTATCTGTGCTGGAGTTTTTAATATTTTAGGGAAGTAGATTTTTCCAGTTAGGCTATTACTTTTCACGAGGTACGCCGAGTTCATGACTTCTTCACAGGGACTTATATTAACCTTATCCTTCCTAATATTGAGAAATCGAGTTTCAGCAGTGTGTTCATGCTTGGCTACTTTTTCGTGCTGATTAATGATTAAATATCCAATCTTTGTTATTGATATGGACTTGTAACACAGTGGGACTCACCACAGTTTGAGAATTTCTTTGTTAGTCACCATCACCATTAATGTCTTATTAATTTAATCACATGAATTGGAAACTTGTTTTAGAGTGTCCATTAGTTAGCACTAGAAATATTGAAAAGAAGATGTTGAACAAGTGGTAAAGATGCATTCCCATTTAACATTTTATTCTCGTGATTATACATCTGAAAAATATCATATTCCTCTTTCATTACAATAATAAGGAATGTTATAGAGTTCAAGGCACATGCTACAACTTTAAACTTTACACTAGATAAAGCTAGAAGCACATTTTCTTAGTTTCCTTCATTGAGAATCTTTCCTTAACACTAGTTAACATAATTGTATAATTCACTACGATACATTTGTGGTCCTGTGACATCAGACTTAATACTGTTACGTCTCTGTTCGTTTGTTAATTTTCCGTAAAAATTCTTTCCGGAGAAACTTTAGTGATACAAGTCCTTTCTTAAATAAAACTAGTTTATTCTTTCTCAATACAACTTTGAATTTCACTTAATTTCCACAGTCACGCTATAATTTAAACAAACTCTATAATTCACAACGAACAAACGATTCACGCGCTTGACTCAACTGTCGTTTCTATCTCTGTCTGCAATTCAATTACATTGTTGTCGTCACTTCTTGGCGGTCTTATATACAAGAATACCGAAAATCTAATAAACACTCGAGGCTTCACGAAGGGACATGAATTTTCTAGAAGCTCATGACGTGTTATTAGCGTTACGTGACTTCCGCTGTCGTAACAATACTTATAGGTACATGGGTCTTTGGCTTCTCCAATACCTAAAAATGTTTTGAAATTCTTAATCTGAAATATAACTTCTTGGAAAGAAAACTTCGAAGTCATGGCTATAAAAACATGTATTGCTACAGATTTTCCATATTATTCAGTAGTTGACTATTATATCATTAAATTTTGTTTTGTGCAACTGCAGCAAACTAGAGTTTGCTGGAAAAATATTCCCAAGTTTAACAAAAACAACAAAAAGTTATTAATATTCACTGAAGAAAAGGCTTAAAAGAGTAACCTTCGAAGAAAAAAAAAGCTTTTATAGGTTTACTGAGAGGCTTGTCGTTTTAACTTTTGTGTACAGGTTTGATATTTCACGTGTTTCTGGTCCAATTTTGTTCTTTTCATCAAATACTTGAAATTCACATTAGATTGCAGATTTTTTCACGTCTCTAACTTGAAATCCGTAATAAACTACTTAAGAATAATTCGTGAAAAAATACACCTACAGTTTAGTGTGATTTTTATCACTTTAGTAAGATTGTTGATATCATTGCTCTCACTGGCTTTTTTTTTTGGCGTTTCAACCCATAATATATAAAATTACTTTGAAGCTTTTTAAATTGTGATGAAGGCAAAAGTTTGACCTGAATCTTACCACTGAGCTATCCAAGTGACAGACAGAAATCGAAGCTACATACAGTTAGAATTAAAATTTTAGAAATAACTCTCAATAGTAAAAAAAAAGTATTTATTTTCTACAATAGCATTAATAATTCCTTTCCATCATATTATTATAGTGTATTGCAAGACATGCTTGTAAGCATTACTATTATGGATTTAGATTTGCTCTACGACGTTAGATAATTTTGAAACAAGTTATCATATATATTGCAATTTTTTAAAAAAAAATATTAGTTTCAATTCCAATCACTAGGTGGTTGCGCATTACACTAGAAAATAAATCTTAGTCTCCGAGATGATCAGGACACACATAGTGTGTCGTGCGGTCGAAACAACCTGCAGGACACACTGTGTGTTATTAACCGATGTGATAGTTTAAGGATTTTTCACTTTTTGTATCTCGAACTGTGGTAATCCAAACTATTCCATATTTTCAGTAGATGTGTTCTACTGGATTCTTACTTCACACATCAAATTTCAAGGCAATCCATTAAGAAACACACAATATATAAAATATACAACCCTTCACTGAAGTTCTTCCTATTCTTTATTTTTTCGCACCAAAAGAACGGAACTTTTATACGATAGAAAAACATACTTCATTTCTATGGATTTTTTTTTTTTCAAATTTGGTACAGTTATAGATCTTTACAACCTACAATTAGTTGTCAAATGAGGTCTAACTATAAGTCATGTGCAAAGTTATTCAACAAAAACCGTTCAATTTTGACCTAAATTTTTGCGCACGCCTACGGAAAAAATCACGTTAGTTATCATTCTAACATTTTTACTTTTTTGTCATTGGGATTAAAGACGGCTGATTTAGAGCAGCAAAACTGTAAGGTGGTAAAAGGACG